AATGAATGGATAAAAACATTTAAGCTACGTTTTAAGCAAGACACAAATTCAACTAAATGGATTGAATATGGAGACATCTTACAGAATTGCTATATGGTAAAAATATTATTGTTAGTTTGTAGCAAGGTTGTTGAAAATGCTAGTGTTTTTTGGTAGMGAACAACACTGGAAATTAAGAGTGTAATAAGCACTATATATCTTGTGCGGTCTTTCACGGTCAAATGAATGCCATCTCACAATTTTATTGATGCAATTCACACTGAAAAGCCAGGAAAAAACAACAAAAATCCATCCATCACAGATCAATGTTGTTTAACCCAGCATCGCACTCCAAGAAAGCTGCGCTAAAATGACTTTTGCTTCTGATTATGATTATTACTCTTTGTAGTGTCGTGACAAAAATTACTACAGATGGGGCTGTTGGTGTACCGATAAAGTCAAAAAGAACAAAACGATGACCACCAACACTGTAGTTCGTAATGATTTAAAGACAATCCAAGAAGCACGATACATAAGATTCTTACCTGTAGAATTTTTCGGTTTTGACAAGACGATGAGAGTTAACGTGTTTTTCGTCAATCAAGGTACGTCGTTGCAACATTTCAGCGGTATTACCCATACGTATCGGCATATGCGATGATTTCATATTGTTGATTTATAGAAGCACCACGTGTTAACGCCACACCCTCTGAACGATCAATATTTGTACAATGGACTATTCAACCATGTGGTAAACTAACTACAAAAATCACTGGCTACCTTGTGGACGTAAGCACAAAAGAAGCCAGGAAATCGATCAGAGTTGGTCCACTTATTATAAGCAAAAACATCACAGGGCTTCAGCCAAACACTGAATATAAAATACGAGTCAAGGCTGTCCCGTATGGATTATGGAGTGATAACAATACTATCCAGACCGAAATGGCAGGTTTGTTATTTTAACTTAATGAGCTTCATGTTAATGGTTGTAATTTTTACGTACATAATGTCTTAACAGTAAATTATCTGGTGGTAAATTCAATAATTTCCTTAATTTTGTGAAAATAATCAACGCAACAAAACATTGCGGAAAGGAATGCAGTTCATCCAGAAAAATACTACGATGGTTGGACTAGTGATGACCCAACTGTGGTGATGATCCTGATAAGGTAGAAGTCTCATGCAAATTATATATAATTTCTTTTAGCATAATAACGACAAATGTTATAGCACATAACTACATTGTTCCGCTTTTCAGACGAAGATTACATTCTAACTTGAGCGGAGTTAAGCTGAGTTAAACCGATGGTCCTGACTGAAGTGGAGGCAAAGATGAATCATTGTCGGCCAGTAAGCTTCACCCTTCCTATAACTTGACCCCAGTCCAGTTCATTGCATGACTATCACATGATAGACAGATTTCATTCCAAACAAATCGTCCAGAAATTCATGTATAATGAGGATGTATAGTTTTTCTATTCAGAACATACAGTCAATCCATTAATGTTGTTCACCTATAAAAACGCAAAGACAACAACAACGTCACTATATCATATCTTTCTTTTTTTACTTTAAGTCAGGAGTAGCCAACAGGATCTGTTCTTCTAAATAACTGTTCTTGTACGAATTTCTTTCTGAAAAAGGGATTTTGAGCTACATTGTTGGCAATCTTACAAGCAAATGTGGYGCCCTTTCKTCTTTAAAATAATTTTGTYCTTGGAACGTAGACTGAACGTTTATTTTCAAGGTCACAAAAGGCTTATATAATGTTTTTTATGGTCAAACTAACACCTACTGAAGGACATACGTATATATAACACCTTACGATTTTTGTTAGGAAATTTTTATTTTCCTGGCAAAAATTCTTAGAAAGTATTCCATGCCTAGTGGAAAGCTCTTTTTCCTGAATTTCTCGCTGGCAACAGTTGTGACTTACAGCTGAGGGTACGAGGGTACTTTGTATATAGATAATGATACTTTTATTAAATACAATAAAAAATGATTATTATTTACAAATTCTACAAAGATGTAGACAAATGTCTTTATATCCTTTTTGCATGCATACCACAACGATTAGCAACCACTGTGATTTTCTGTGCTAAATTCGCGTATATAAGCTTATATTTCTTTCCATTTTCCCCTTTCGTCCTTTTATTTCATCTCTTTGCGTTTGAAGCCGTTCAGTGAAAGAACCATTTGTCCTCCTCTAACATTATATGGCATTATAGACTTTATTTCAAGCCATTTTCTGCTAGTGTTATTAAAAAAACATCTATCTACCCCTTTCCACATTTGCGCCACTTTTTGTCATTTTAGTTTGTGTATAAGTCTAATTGAAGGACCCTTTATCCTAACGCCGTATGCCTTAATTTTCTACATATCTAAATTCGCGAAATTTACGTGTTTGCAGTTTTCTCCGTTTTTCGTCCTTTCCCGCTTTAACTTTTAGCTTTTTCAGCCTTCCAACGAGAGAACTCTTGTCCTGACCTTTTATGGGTTGTCATTTCGCCATTTTTTGAATAAATTCGCGGTGTATACGTATTTCCTTGTTTGCCATTATCCACTGTCTCGTCCTTTTATTTACTTTAACTTGTACACAGTTGTCCAACGACAGGACCCTTTCTCTTAACCTTGTATGGCTTATATATCATCTGCTCAATTCTCAGTATCATTTTATTAATTACCAGTTTCCTATTTCCTCTTGTCGTCGCCTGTTTTTCAATTTCAGAAGGACGTCTTGTCCTTGTTTTAATGTTCGTTGCCATTTTCTTCTAAATCTGTAGTTAATGTCCTAGTTTGCCATTTTCCATATTTCGTCATTTTCTGCTAACTTCCGCAGTATTGTTTTTTGTTTTCTAGTTTCCACTTGTCGTCTATTTGTTTCATTTTTGCAAGTACCCTTCCTAACGCTGTCAATTCCTGCTAAGGTCACAGTACAGTCACAGTATTCTCTTCTCTAGCTTTGACGTTCTTGAATTGCAGTCGGAAGGTATCGAGTCAGTCGGAAGGTATCGAGTCAGTCGGAAGGTATCGAGTCAGTCGGAATTTCTGGAGCACTTCTTCTCTTTTTTCTTCTTGTTTCTTTTATTTGTGTTTATGATTTTTGTCTGACTTTTTTTCTTTTGTTGTCTTCAAGCGAAAGGTAATGCCACCGGATTTTGTCAGTACAGAGAAGAGAGACATTGTACCAAATTACATATTCCTCAGGCTGTTTTGAGCCAAGGATGATCCAACAAATCGGTAATGTTTGCCCGTTCGTTTGGCCTTTTCTTTAGCATAATTCGTAGGAAATTTTTCAAATCTGTAAATACAGACAAACAGACAAACGATCAATGACGACTAGTTTCGGCACAATTACAGACAATATTCATTTGTGCTGGAGGAAAACCACCTTTTCACTGACCTTGAGAAAAGTGATTTGGAATTCTAAGAGGTTGAGTCGCTGCTTGTTTTGCACTTTTGAAGGGAGGATTTCCCGTAAGCATGTCAAACAAGAAACAACCGAGTGACCACACGGTGGCCTGGCGACCATCGTACTGCCTGGTAGTATGGAATTCAGGAGGACTGAACTCTACTGTTCCTGAAAAACAAAACAAAAAATAAAATAGCAATTGAAAAAAGTAAGTTGTTTTATGACAGATAGGATACCAGTGTGGCCCAAACATCCGGGCCAGTATCTATCCATCTTGTTCTCTTGTCCATTGTTCTCTGTGCATATTTAGAGGTAGCCTAGTCTGGGGTCTAGTCTTCACGTTGAAGTAAGACGGGTGGTGAGGTATCTATCATTGAAATATCAACCGACCGCAGTAACTTCTATAGCATTATAAACTGATCATTATAAAGAAGTGACTGTCGGGTAATTCGTACATTGTACATACCAGTAAATGTGGTAATTGGTTGGTTTGTCAAATGCCATGACAATCCAAAGTCAGTGAGTTTAGCTTTCATCCCGCCATTACTGAGGTCCATGATGACATTCTCKGTTTTGATGTCGTTATGCAGGATCTCTTGTTCCTCGAGGTAAACCACCGCGTTCAATATTTCACGGAAAATGCTCTTTCCRTCTTGCTCATTAATGGCGTTGTTCTCGTAGTTTTCCAGATAATCGAACAAATCGACACAAACACGAGGCCGCTCRAAGACAAGGACATAGTTCTTGTCGAAATGATGATGTTCAATGAGTCTTATGATGTTAGGATGGTCGAGGTTCTTTTGGAAGAAGATTTCTGAAGGAACATTTTGGTTTGGACTTCCCTAAACAGATGAAAGAAACTATATATATTGACGAAACATGGGCGTTGTTTTTGAGATTCTCTGTACAACCGCAACGCACTCATCATAATTCCACACTTTTTTCCATTTGAAACTGTACTACAGTTCGGACTAACAAAAAGCAATAAGTTCTCCTACCTGTTGAACAATGCGGCATGTCTCCTCAGGAATGTATTTAATGGCCACCTAAAATGTGATTCAGCTTGTTTTATTATCTATTATAACTATTATTCATTTTTAAGGACGTTCATTGGCATTGGATTCCGTGATGTCAATTCACGGAAATTTTTTGGGGAAATACGCGATGGCATAAACTTGAAAAAAAGCGATAAAAAAGTGGAGGTCACCGGCTTCATTTTAGAGATAATTCTTGCACAAAATCACCAAAATTGTCAAAGAAAAGCGCGCGAAAAGGGGTCGATGCCGTCTACCAAAAAACTTCCCGAAAAATATAAAACACATATCAATTGATCCAAATTTTTCCACAAAAGCTGAGGGCGATAATTGTTAATATTGTTTACGAGACTTTGAANTTTCGCCTCATCAATTCTTTAGCAGTAGTAAATCTCTCATTTTTTGAACACGAAGACATTTTTCATTCAAGTAGAAGTTCAGAAAAGTGCGTACAAAACCACACAAACACATAACAAGAGCGGTCGCCATCTTTGTTTTGCGTGATGCAATTTCGTGACAACTTCCGGTTTGGGCGTGCGCAGAAAGCGTGCGCAGTAGCAATGCCCTCGAACGTCCTTAAAAGAATCCCAACCAACCACAATACAGCTGCGCGCGCTCGTGTTATATTTATTACTTATGCTTACGTTTAAATTCGTCAAGCATAATAGTACCTTTGTGGTACTTAGTTAAAGGGATTTCTGTCCAAACTGAAAGGATGGAAGGCAATTTGCGCTCACTTTGAGAAATCCTACGAATCCGCCATTTTAGTGTCCTACCTAAGTGGAGCTTCGGCCCGCAAGGTACGGCGGTTGGTTGTGATTTTTTAAATTTAGCCACCCCTAAATAATAGATCTCTTGCGTTGGCACTTGCTTCTGCGCTAGCTCTTGCGAAGGTAGTGAAACCAGTCTTTMGAAATGAATTCAGGTAAAGTCGCTCAGCAGTGCGTAGCCAGGCGTTCCTAGCCGCTCCGGGAGAGACTAAGAAAATCAGAAGGATTTCCTCCGACCCAAACTCTCTCGGAGCATTTAGTAAGCCCTGCCGGCTACTTAAGCTACAAGTCGCTAAATGTCTTYAWTTTCTCGATAACATTTCATGTACTWYTTCTAATRTTGTCAGTAAAATGAAAAGAAATTCGCTCACTCACCGGTAATTGATCTCTCAGGCGAATTCCAGCGTAGACCTTTCCAAACGAGCCAGTGCCGAGTAATCTTCCTTGGGAGTACTGAGCAAAGAAGTTTCTTTTCCTTGACGCTGAAGCTGTATTTCAGAAATAGGAAAAAAAGTTAGGGAAATATGCAATAAATTTAATAGAGATGATKGAAAAAGTAATTTTCAGTAGTTTTATACCTCTTTTGGCTGTTAGTATTCTTCGGGGTTTGGGAGCTGACGTAGTGGCCTTATTATCAGCAATGTTACTGTGGTTAGTGGCTTGTTCAAGTTGAACAGCTTTTTGTTCATTGCTGGTTTGTTGTTCTTCGTTTTTTGCATGGATCACTTCATACTAAAAATGYATTTTAGATTATCAGATGTGTATCTATAATAAATTGTGGTAATAATAAGAAACTGGAAAAAAGAAGAAAAATAAACAGGAATCAAAGAAATAAGGAGGATAATTGAGATCTAAGTCTAATGAACGAAATCGCAATCAAAATACCACGCCCTGGTTTTATCGAGTTAAATATTCAGCTCTAATATTTCCAATGCTTTAACTAACCATGAAATCCCTGGGAAGACTCTTGAAGAATTTCTTCTTTGGAGTTTCCAAAGTATCTATTCCAGATATCTGACTTCGACATCGCTTCCGAGTTCTTAAACCAGAAAAAAGAAACTAAATCAGTGTAGGCTTGGCTAAAGAGAATTTCAACAGTGTGTAACTTTACGATACGTTTGCAATTTTCCTATCAAATACGATATAAAAGACGTTTAAAGCTTAAAAACTTACAACATGTTTTTGTCTTGCGACATATTGATTTTAAAGTTGCAATTTTTTGGCTTTGATGCTCGCTGATTTTACACTTCTAGCTTTAAAAAGTTTTCGAAAGAGTGAGCAACGTTGTCTTGACAACCTTTGATTGCGTCGATTGGAATCTCACTTCGCGCGCCTTGAGGAYATTCGGCTTCGGCGCGCGCGRATAAATTCAGGCACAGGTAACCCGAGCGTTCTATAATATCGAAAGCTATCAAAACTATCAAGACTATACAAAGCTAATGTTGCTTATTTTTCTTGTTTTGTTCAAACTTTTACTATTAGATAATTCCAGTAAGTTTTTAATGCAATTTATTCAATATTCAGTTTTCAATCCTTTATCGTTCTCGATCAGYCATCCTTGCAAATCTATTTAAGCTAAATCTTAATCTGTTTCACGGACATTTTTGTTTATTTAATATTTAGAAAATTGTGGAAAAAGTAAGCTTTGCTATCCCGCTCGTGAGAATCAACGAATTAATTAATATTATCTCTTGCGGTTATTCCAGTTTTACCAGTTTTTTACCAGTTTTTTCAGTTTTACAACAAGCTCATTCTAAGACAACCTTAATTTTCACATTTTGTGAGGATCAAACAAACAAAAATTGCAGAAACAATTGTATACTAGAAATGTGAGATCTCCTACCTTGCTACAGTCTACAGTCTGCTTCATACAGAAATACCTAAATAGGTGAGAACAAATGAAAAGAAAAGACAGACAAAGTAGGACAAGAGATAAGAGTTGCACCCACACGTGCCAATCAGAATTGGCGACCGTTACCCATACGTAGTTTTTAACTCGGAGATTGCGTTAGCAATCGAAGAGTTATTGTAGGGAACGATATGTCACTCACTAAGTCACTCACTTTCCTGTAAACTGCGTTGTTGCCTTAGTAACGGCTATTTTGACTTATTAATTTTTAATTATTCATCTTCATGTTCTACCTGTTTCTTTTTTTTTTTCGAAGAGAAAGAAATTATTGTCCTCCTCCCCATTCCTTCTCGGTCCCCCAGCAGGAACGCCTGTTAGCAGGCTAAGTACAATGGTGCCGTACAGTTGGTCGGGATTCAATCGAACCAACTTTCATTTAATTCACCGTTACAGAGTAAGCATTCTTAAAAGAATTGCTGGAAAAAATAATCTATAATAAAACAAGAAATAAAAAAATTACTTTCTGGGACTTGAACCT